TGCTCACCTTTGGTTTTGAGGTGCCTGTTGAGGGTGCCGTGCTCGGCGAAGCCGCGCCCGCACTTGTAGCACTTGAAGGGCTTCTCGCCGGTGTGGTGGCGGATGTGGCGCACCAGGGAACCTTTCTCCCGGAACCCTCGGCTGCAGAAGTGGCACACGTAGGGCTTGTCCTCCAGGTGGGTACGGAAATGCACCTGCTGGGCGTTCTGCACGCACAGGGAGGCAAGGCAAGGGCTCAGAAAGGACACAGCTAAGTCACAGGGTTTTAGCTGCCAGGGTGCAACTCAACGTCTTTTACAGGACACCAGGATGACTTCCTGGGGTGGTGGTTTAGGAATGGTACTTCCCAAGTCAGTGCTCACACCATGACTCTCCAAACCATGAGGCACTCACTTGTTCCCCCCTCTCCCTCTCCCCATCTCCTTGCAGGGGGCTGGAGAGGAGAATTGGAGGCACAAAAGGTGAGGATCATGGACTGAGATAAGAACAATTTACCAGAAACAGAAATAAAACACTACTGATGACAGCGTGTTCAAGAAAGAGGGGAGCAACTCACCTGCCCTACAGAGGGAACCCCTTACCCCCACACCAGAATGTTCTAGCCATGCACCCTCTTGGCTACTGTAAAAATTAACCCCGTCCAGGCCAGAACCAGGACACTGTTATTACATACTTGTTCCACACACAAAGGAACAGTTTCTTCAGAAATGTGACGGTTTTACAAAGACTGTCCTTCCTTTTGCCCACTAAACCAAAACATCTTTATGGAGTTTCAGATCACAGAATCACTGAATGGTTTAGGTTGGAAAAAACCTTAAGGAACACCTGGTTCCACCCCCTGCCATGGGCAGGGACACCTTTCACTATCCCAAGTTGCTCCAAGCCCTGTCCAACCTGGCCTTGGACACTTGCAGGGATGGAGCAGCTTCTCTGGGCATCCCGTAAGAGGCAGGCGAGCTCTTTGAGGAGCAAAGCCTCCTAGCCTCTACCACAGCCTGGCTCTGGGGAGACCAGCACAGAGGTTTGGGGAGGGGGGCCCACCTTTGTCTTGTAGCGCTTGCCACACTTGGGGCAGGCGTAGGGCCGCTCGTCCGAGTGCACGCGCCGGTGCCCCTTCACGTGGGCAATGGTCTTGTAGAGCTTCCCACACTCCCCGCAGCGGAACCGCCGCTCGTTCACGTGCACCTCCTGGTGCTTCTTCAGCAGGTAGCCCTTGGTGAACTCCTTGCCA